GGGAGCGGGGAGGCCGCGGCGGGGCCGTGCCGGTGGGGGCGGCCTGGGCTCGGCGTGAGCGGCGGGGCCGGTGCCTTCCCCGCAGGACTGGTGCCATGGCGGCGGACTCGGAGGTGCTGCACTTCCAGTTCGAGCAGCAAGGGGATGCCGTGCTGCAGAAGATGAACCTCCTGCGGCAGCAGAACCTCTTCTGCGACGTCTCCATTTACATCAACGACACGGAGTTCCAGGGGCACAAGGTGATCTTCGCCGCCTGCTCCACCTTCATGAGGGATCAGTTCCTGCTCAACCAGTCCCGGCAGGTGCGGATCACCATCCTGCAGAGCGCCGAGGTGGGCAGAAAACTGCTGCTGTCGTGTTACACGGGGGCTCTGGAGGTCAAAAAGAAGGAGCTGCTGAAATACCTGACGGCCGCGAGTTATCTCCAGATGGTTCACATCGTGGAGAAGTGTACAGAAGCTTTGTCGAAATACTTGGAAATCGACGCTTCCATGGAGAACGGTAATCAGGCTGCAGAGAGGTGTCATTCCTCGGACGCCGAACTGAGGAACGGGGAGGAGGTTGTAGATGAAGACTGTGAAATAATTGAGATCTCGGAAGACAGCCCGGTGAATGTAGAATACCCTGTGAAACAGGAGAATGGGGACGTCTCGCTGCCCACAGCACAGAGCTTGATCTCGGAGAGGAAGGACGCAAAAACCCCAGAAATATCAACAGTTGAAATCGGATATAAGGATGACGAAATCTGTATTTTCAGAATGGATTCCATGAGCGAAGCGAATGTAGAAAATGATCATTTTCCTCAGCCTTGCACATCCTCTAAAACAAATTTATACTTCCCAGAAACCCAGCATTCCCTGATAAATTCTACAGTTGAAAGCAGAAATACAGAAATGTCAGGAAATCACTTTCAGGCTTTTGTCGGTGACAATCCAGAAGGAACTTCTAGTCTGGTGAATGGGTTCCAGAGCCTGGATGACTCTGGCAATTCATGGCGGCACCAGTGTCCCAAGTGTCCGAGGGGATTTCTGCATCTTGAGAACTACCTTCGACATCTAAAAATGCACAAACTCTTCCTGTGCCTGCAGTGTGGCAAAACGTTTACGCAGAAGAAGAATCTGAACCGGCACATCCGGGGGCACATGGGTATCCGCCCCTTCCAGTGCATGGTGTGCTTGAAGACCTTCACTGCCAAAAGCACACTTCAGGATCACCTGAATATACACAGTGGTGACAGGCCCTACAAGTGTCATTGCTGCGACATGGACTTTAAACACAAGTCTGCTCTTAAAAAGCATTTAACTTCTGTTCACGGAAGGAATAGCAGCGAAAAAACAAACCTGAACGCTATTACAAAAGTTAAAATAGACTATGATTAATAGATGGGTGGTTGTGGAGCCAGGTTCCGCAGAAAGTTCCTGCCTCGTGAAATTCTAGACAAAATTCTAGATACAGATCCCCACGTAATGGAGAGAAGCACAGGAATGTGACCGGTGATCAAAGACAGGCCTTGCGAGCAGTAAACTTGCCTGCTGTGTTAAGGTTGCTATTGCTGTAAGCATGAAAAAGGTGTTTACTAGTTAAAAGTAAACTGCAAAATAAGGGAAATTATTTCATGCTTCTCTTCTATTATTCTGGAGGCATTCTGAATTCACACATCCCCCGACCCCCGATTATGTTTTACACTCCCCTGTTCGAAGGGCGGGTACTGCTGATTTTCAAAGTGTTACTGATACTGCAATAAGCTGAAGCCTGAGCCGTGACATTCCCGATCTGTAACGGCTAAGGAGAGGAATATTTGTATTTATTCAGCAAGTCAGTCATTCCCACCCAGTTCACGTATCATTTATGGTGAAATCATCTTATTTGCCCAAACTTTGCTAGATCTTTCAACAGGAAGAAGGCATGCTTTCATACTCAAGTCTCTGATGTTTAAGAAAGAACACCCAATAGACAAATAATGAAGGAAGCTTTCAGATTGCCTCTTACAAATAGAGAATTGGTAAAAGAGAGACAGACAGTATTGCCTTGCAGTTAATTTTTAACTGGATAGTCTCATTAGAAGGACTTGCTTTCAGTTTTATGAGTTCTGAATTTTTCTAAACTAATGTTTTTTTCTCACACCAGTATTTTGCACCTGTATTTGACTAATTCCTATTAAGCTAGTCCTATTTGTTGAGTTGTAACATTTGCCTTCATTTTTTACAAATCTTAGATACATACACTAATGTGAAAAATTAAGCTGTGTGCTGTTAACGTTAATAGCAGTTTCTACGTTAATTTGGAAAAGCAATCCTTTATATCTTATTAGGAGTGGCTTAGACATAGAGGTCTTCTCATACTCTACTTCTGTGATACAGTAAAACAGTAACTATGTGTGTTTGGATAGGAGTGTTTGTACTTTGTCAAAGGTCATTTCAGTTTCATCACAACCACTGAAAGCTCTGTAACGCCGAATCTTTATCCTGTACCTGTCTTTGACTGGTATATGTTTCTTCCACTTAATGTGATATGAATAAAGAGTCAATTCAGTTGTTAATAGGAGATAATGGTACTTACATTAGATTCTCTCCAGTTAGCAAAAAGCAGTAGTTCTTAATCTTGTCTGTATCACGAGGGTGCACTTTCCTTCAAGTTTCCAGAAGTGCTGATATGAAGTTCTTGCTCTGAGTCCAGAAGTCTGGCCCATGTGCTCCATAACCTGGCTGGTTTCAATACAAGACAATAGTTTTTAATGTCAGTTAACATGTTTATCTTACATTCCTTCCATCCCCTTTTTCTGTGAGTGTACCAGCCATTGCTTGGGGTTTTATTTATCAGCTTTGTGAGGGGTTGGGTGTGTACAAGATCTACCGTGCAGTTTCCTGTTATTATCTGTAGTAGGCGTGGTCAGCTGTGCCAACATTGTCACTATCTTAAGATCTAGGTAATTTCAGTTGAAGAGTTTTTAAAAACTTGTTTCATGAGGGGTTTTTCAAGCTCTTCATCTGATATTACTAGCACTGAAAGTACATATTAGTTGGATTGCGGCAATATTTGCAGGTCCCAGTTCATACTAGGCCATGTTGTGGTAGGCAGCAGATGTCTTCCTTCAAAACCCCGTAGTCGAAATAGGCAAGTAGCGTGTTCTGAAGCCGAGCACGCCACTAGAGCCATATTCTCCCAGAACTTCACATAGACAGTTGACTGGTGAAGGACTCCATTATACTGGATCACTGGAAAGGCGAGCGTGCCAAGCCTGCACATGGGGGCATCCCTATGAATAATGACAGAAATTACACCCCCCCAGTAAGCAGCACGTGTAACTGGGAATTAAAACCACCTGGTTTATCCAGGATTTTAAGCATAAGGCCCAACCTTTCACCATCTCTGCTATTGTTTCATTTGCGATTCGAGTTGATAATTTCCTTTATTTTGGTGATTTTTATCTATAGTAGTTGTAGTTAAAATTGTCATGACAGTTAGTTACCATAATTAAAAGGTTTGGGAGTCATCTATGGTGCAGCCACCTGGCATTTTGCAGAAAAAAAATGCATTTTATACCACTGTCTTAAGTTTGCATTCATTAGTCTGTCGCTATTTATAGTCTTTTTGACCTTGTGATTAGTATTGTTTGTTTGGTTTTCACAAAATACCACTAATTTTTGGTTCCTAATTGCATAAAAATTGACTGGTTTTCAAAAGCATGCAAATACCTGCACTTGCCCTTGCTGTATTTGCAGACGTTAACTTGGGTATACGTACAGCTTGGTTTGTAGCTTTTCATCTGTGTTTACAGACTTGGTCACTTAAAATAAACTCCTTCATCCTTGGAAGAGGTCATAAAACAAGGAAAAAGTTTACTTCCCTCCCCCCATCCTTGTTACATTGGGCTGCTATTACTGTAGTTCAGTAAATAAATGTATTGTGCATTTATGAGACAGATTTGGTTCAACTGTGCTTACGTTTGTGCAGTTGATACGCATTTTTGGCAGGTGTATGATTACCATTGCTAACACTTCAAAAGATCATTCCTTGGGTTTTGTTTGACTGTTTCTTACGGGTGTATACAGGGGTATTTCCCTGCGTGTCAAAGGGGAAACAGAGGCTGATCTTTTGAAGTGCATCTTCTGTGGGTGCAGGATTGCGAGTTATTTTGGTTTGCTGTTGTATTGCATGTAAACATGAGAGGGAGTTGTGTTGTTCTGTTCAGTAGCTAGAGTGTCTTGGTAAGCTTTGTGAACAAAAACTGATTTTGTGCACATGTTCACATTAGAAGTGTTTCCTCTCCCCTTTCCATACATGTAACCACTCGTCCTGTCAACACAATAAATGAAATGCAAACAAGACGTTTCAGAAATACATATGCTTTCTTCTAATCGCAGTTAAGTAATTCGGTGCATACCTTAGTATTTAATATTTTGGCTTGCTGTGGTGAGTAAACAAGAGGTCGTAACCAAAACAAAGTGTTCAAGTAGCACATTTCTTGGGTCCTTCAGAAGGGTCTATCTGACCTACTTGCCAGATGAACGTTTTCTCCTCAGAAATCAAACTCTGCCTTTGCCTTGGTTAAGAAAACAGTTCTGATTGTCGTGTGAGGCTGGAGAAGTGAGCTGCTGCTCCCGGGATTTTCTCTGGGGTCGCCTGTGGTAAAGCAGCAACCCAGGCGCTCCCGCCACTGCCCTCGTACCCTCCTGGCCCAGAGGGGCCGCACCTGCACCTCCTCGGGAGGCCGTGGCAGGCGGCACCAGCACAAGCGACGGGCGCCAGAGGCGGCCTCCAGCCCCAGATACTTCTGAGCGCTAGTAATGATAAAGTTACTCATTAAAATTTTAAAAAGAAAATAAATAACACGAGGCACAGGCGCTGCGCCACCAGGGGAGGCGGGCCGCCAGGGGGCGCTTGGCGGCAGCGGCCGCCGCTCTGCCACACCGTCTCTATGGCTGCCGCTCCCACCCCCCCATGGCGGAAGGGCACGTCCGAGGGCGCCTCTGTGCCGCCGTCTCGATGGTCGTTCCGCCGGCGGCTCCCACAAGGCCCCGCGGCGGTCACGTGCGG